AGTAATAATTATTAAAAACTGCCGGACTTCCGCTGGAATCTCTGAGGCACGGTGGAGTAGTCGTCACGATAAAAAAATCTAAAGAAACAAAATAAATAGCCCAACGGTCGTCGGCGGCATCATGAAGCCTGCCGGAGTGCGGAGTATAACGGTCTTGCAATAGGGTATGCGTTGTGCATTCGTTCTTTTCTTTTCTTTTCTACCATGTCGAATTCTGACGCCATGACTCTCTACCTCCTCCGTTCCAACGCGTTGTTCGTTATTAAATTAGCAAATCAGCTTCAAATAAGGGTCGTAACACCCTCTAGGGTAAAAAAGCACACAAAAAACAAGGAACATTTTGAGCAGCGAGAGCAGCACGGCTGCTCCTCTTCTTATCAAAGAAGACGCCGTCCGAAAATCCAGCGGCTCCCTTTTTCTTTAATTTACTTTCTAACTTCATTTTGTTGTTGGGTTCGACTGCTCACTTCTCTGTGACGATGCCGTCTGTGGTCATACGTTTTGCTTTTGTTTTGTCACGCAGTGGTGTGGTCCGACCGATCAACCAACGAGTTTGTTAGAATGGTGTCACGAGGTATAAAATGGCGGATCAAATAAAAATACTAGATGCAAAGGAGCGCAGCTATACTCGTTTGACCCTCGGCGCTTTATTCCTCCAGAGGCGAGCATCGCAGTGCCATGGGCTTTAACCTGTGCCGTCTTCATGACGCCATAGAAGACCCTCTTCAAGCAATTAATTTGCTTCAGCGCTTGGGCCTGCTCCTGGTTCCTGGGTTTTCGTGCGTATGCAGAGTGCGAAGCTGCGATGACAAGCTGCAAGTCGGCGCTCGATCTGCGGATGGCTACACGTGAGGGTGCGGAGTGTGGATGACTCGTGAGGTATCCAAGAGGACGCCGGTCAAAGTTAAGTGCCGGGGCGAAATCTCGGTACGAAGTGGTTTCTTTTTCGAAGGATCGCACCTGACGCTTCTCCAACTCATGAAAATCATTCTCCGGTGTCAGAGCCTACCGTTCGCCGTCATTTAGTGGGAGACTGATGTTGCAAGTAAGACAATAACTGATTGGAGGAGCTTTTGTCGGGAGGTTGTGGTTAATGCCGTCTTTAAGCATTCAGACATGATTGGTGGCGACGGCGTGACTGTAGAACTAGACGAGAGTATGTTCGGTTGGCGAAAGTACCATCGCGGGTATTTAAGGCCTGGCCAATGGGTTTTCGGTGGTGTGGAGCGTTGCAGCGGGTGCTGCTTTTTTTTTTCCCGTGGAGACCCGTGACGCTAAAGCCCTGCAAGGGCTAATACCCGAGTTGGTCCACCCTGGAACAAGAATAATTACTGACTGTTGGGCTGGCTATCGCAAGCTTGCAGATGAAGCTCGCTTCACGCATCTCACCGTCAACCACAAGCTGTACTTTGTCGACGCGAACACTGGTGCGCACACCAATACGGTGGAGGGCACCTCGGCCCACGTCAAAAACTCTCTTCCATCTGGACGGTGCGAGAGTCACGATTTCGCTGGTCACCTTGAAAAGTTCATGTTTTGGAGGAGAGAGAAGGCGCGCGGTAACACTAGATTCCAGTCGTTCGTCGCGGTGGCCGCCAAAATCGGCAGCCCCGACGCAGACAGTGACGTTCCCTCTAGTGCGGAGGACGAGGATTCTGACGGCCCCGGTGACTTCGAGCGATCCGCTGCGCTGCGCCCGTCGCTTGTCTGCGTGCATAAAGACGAATTATGCGCCAACCGCTTGTCAAGTGCTCGTTATGTCAGTTATAGGTTCTAGCAGCGGTCTAAACGGCCCTTTTCAGGGCCCCATATTTTACAAACGGAGCTGTTTTCCGAATGCCGCACCCCGTGTCTCTGTAAAAAGTTCACAGGAAAAACCCAGCCAAGGTATGTGGTCTCCACTTTGGATATCGCGAGTTATGATTCAAATAAAAAATTGTTCTTGCTTATTTCGCACCTTCGATCCCAATAAATGCCCCCGTTGCAGTCGTCTCGCGGTGCTGTTGCTTGCTCAATCGCCGTCGGCGTGTCTCAGCTTCGTCGTCTTTGCCTGCGGCGCACCGGCGAAGGCGGTTGATCTAACACACCGCGTTCGGCTTTGGCTAGCAGACGGCGTTCGTAAAATGGCGTCAGCTGTTGGTGACTTCACGCGGCGGTACAGTGCGTGCTTCCATTCATTCGGCGTTCGTTGCCAAGGTGACGGCGAGGAAAGCAGGCGAACTTTATGTTCCGGAAGAACGCTGCGTCGCAGCGATACCAGGTGCGTTCTAAGGCCCTTCCCGCATGCTTTTCAATGGGCGGAAGGCGAACAAAAAGAGTTCGAAATAAGGACTTAACGCAGAATGCTGCCTTTCTCCAGCGCCTCCTAATTTGACGAGACTTGCACGAAATGCATGTTTTTAGAGCGGAGCTTGGAGATAGTTTTTTTTTTTACAAAACATGGGTCTAGAGTATTAATGTGCCACAAATTGCATCTTGCAGGCGCAATCGTCCACGCTTTATTTTGGGTATTTACTTCACATCTTTTACACGGGGAAGGCGCGCGCGTGTGGCGCTTAAAACACCAATCTCTGCATTCTCCTTGATGCTTGGGTAATTTAGAATAGGCCTATTGCACGCGCTGCCCACTTGAGCGGCACACGCTTGGCGGCCCAAGGATCACAGTATAACGTTACAACTAATCAAAGTTTTTTTGTTTCTTTTTTTCGTTTAGTTGCAGTTTTTGAGAAAACAAACGTAATGTTCAAGTTTACGTGTTAAGAATACGTCTGAATTCTCCTCCAGCTCGTTTTTTTTTTTTTTTTTTTTTAAGAAATGTGTTAGCTTTTTTTGAAGTTTATAGATGTTCACTCAACATCACGTCTAGGCGTTAATAGAAGACAGGTTGGCTAAAATTTAAAACGGGAAGGAATGTGGGAGGAACTTTTAAAGGCTGAAGTACTAAAACAATTTACTGCCAAGATAAATGCTGATTAAATCATTGCTTGTGTAGATATAAACTGATGCTATCCAAAAGTTTGTCTCAGGGGCCGGATACGCGACTTGTTGCTCTCTCTAGATTAGAAAAAAATAGTAATTATAAACGAATAAGAAGTAATTGAATAAATCTAGGTAATAATTTAAACATAGACCTGAATGTTAGAGTAAGTGTTAAAAGCCTAAAGACGATAAAGACACATACTTCAAATGAGGATTTAATATTTAGCTAATTATGACATAAGCACACCACTGTGACCAAAATAACTCCAGGCATAAATCAAAGCTCCTTGGAACTTTGGCATGTTTGAAGGGAAAATACCACAAATTAAAATCATAAAACTAATGCTTAAAATACACAATAGTTTTAACAGAGGACACAAAGCGCAATTTAGATGAGAACACAATGGAATATTTTGCATAGTTACGCAGACATACAGTCCCCGGCCATATGAGCTCCCCCGGCCGAACGCCGACCGGAGCAGCAAAAATCCCGCATGGGGCGCGTCGAGCGTTGCCGCGTTCTGGGAGCCGGGCTATTGGGATCAAACCATTCCGTTATCAAAGGGTGGACGCATAGCTTTTATCGGGATTCCGCGTTTTGGAACGCGAGTCTGAAGCACGGCCGATTACGATCCCTCTTCTGGTTGTAGGTTAACGCAGACGGCTTATCAAAATTCTTCAATACATAATATCTCTGACGTGTTATATGCTACTTTTTTATTTGCAAAACCGGTTTGTCATTTTAGATATTTCCTACCCGAAGAGTAGTCCTACGCACAAGCCCCCCCTTTCTTACAATCTTTCTTAAACCTAGACTAGACAATGACAAGCGATTTTGAAATAATTTAGTTTTTCTATAAGGATATGCTATAGATATGCTATAGATAACAGAAAGAAAATATTTGTGTCGAAGCAGAATAAAAATTCAGACGCTTTTCATGAACGCGGTTTATCGAGGAGACTCCATTGTTCTGCGCTCAGTAGCGTGTTGCTTCGCCAAGGGTAATACTCTACACGATGACTTTGCAAATGGCCTCCTGGTCGGTCACTTCTCGCTTGACGAGGGATCATTGTTGCAATGCCTAATATCATATCAAACATAAGGTGTTTACATTTGTAAGCATCGATTTAACACTGCTGCTTTATCTACGCCTAAGGCAAGCTCCAGTTTATCAGCAGTTATAACATCATCTTCGAACACTTGGGGCCAACACCCGAAAACGGCAATTCTAATGGGCCATGTTTTTGTGATTCACACTTCTAAAGGCTGGAATCCCAATAAAAGCTATGCGTCCACCCCTTTGATAAAGGAATGGTTTGGTTCCAATAGCCCGGCTCCCAAAACGCGGCAACGCTCGGCGCGCCGCGTGCGGGATTTTCGCTGATCCGGTCGGCGTTCGGCCGGGGGAGCTCATATGGCCGGCGACTGTACATCAGGGGAATCAAAATAATAATGCTGGTGATGACAATTTTGAATGAATAATATGCAGAGACGACCCGCATTCCGATGTTTCTCTCGTTCTTTCTTATAACTTAGCTAGCGTATTTAGATCGTGTCGTGACACCGTTTCCTGGGTGTTTCCCCAGGGAACGTTTCCAGCAGCCTGGGTCTGCTGGAAGCGGGCCGCGGGCTGGGTTTTATTGAAAATACCGCCATCAGCAGCTGGTCGAGCGCAAGACTTCTCGGGCCGGGGTTCGGAGAACCCTGATGTAGACACTTCAAGCGATGCCTTGCTGACTCCAGTGACTTGACGGCAATAATGCTCCTGTGTAACAGAGCCAGGAGATACTAAAATGTTCCTAATTTTTATGGCACTCATTAATGTACAATATCTGTGTGCTTCAAGTTCAAGGTATGGCAACTGGCAACTATTTTCAAGTCGAGTTGCTAAAGGTTCAGGATTGGACCACGGTTTCCTTAGTTCGACCTTGAAGTTTGTGGGAGAAACCACAGGGACTGATTTGGGCACTGAGAGAGAGTGCGCAAAAAATGCAAGGGCACTTTAATCCAAACACTTATAAAGCTTTTTGTAAGAGTTGTTTATTGTATAAATTTAGAGGATGCGCGATCTTGGAAAGTCGATAGTCACATGTATAAACTGTTAATAGGTGGTGGTTCTCAAATATATATGTCTCAATTAACCTGCGTGAGCCTTACTAACCTGGCGCAAGCACGATCGTCACACTGCTTAGTGAAACCTTTGTTTTTGCATGCGACAGCCACCACGACCATCACCCCTGCAGCATAAACTGCAGCATGCAAATAAGCATTTTATTTAAATATCCACCTCCGATAAGAACACCTTAGGATTCTTTAACCAATATATAAATAAAAAATTCCACGCTGTTATATAAAGCCCGTGGAGTGCTAGGGTTGATTGCATCTTACCAAATCTTGCTAGAAAAAAAAAACAACGCTCTGAGAACACACTAGCTGTTCGTTAAATTAGACATGCCCGTTAAAAGATAAAAATGACCAGCTGCCGAGCTCGTGTGCCCTTGGTTTCCAGCGAAGACGATGGTGCCCAAAGTGTTCATCGACGCAAAGGTTACCGCCAGGACGATGAATTTGAGCCCGGCACCATAAGCGAACTGAAAAAAATAAAATAAAACAACTTTTGGAACTCGCAGATTATGCACCGGGCACGGTATAGATGCTTTAACCGCGCGCCAGATTAAGACGCCATTGCCGACCTTCTCTGTCTTACCGAGATTCCGAGCCACCAAATACGACCTACATGTAGCTTCGCCAATACTGGAAACTCCTCCGAAAACCTATGGGAGCGGCGGCGAACATGACAGTGGTGCCTCTAGCGGTCTCGGAGTCTACGGAAGCAGACGTCGCAACGAAAAAGTAATACCTGCACGACGTCCTCGAGCTTTGTCACCCCAACAGCAGAAAGAATTCATTACGGTCAGTCCGCTTGCAAAGCGGAATCCATTGATCGTAACTGCTACGACAATGAAATAACAAAGCGCGCAGGAACAAAGATAGAGCAGTCTATTTAGAGGTCTCAAACGCCATTCAGGGAGACCACACGCGTTTGAAGCGCATCTGGGAAGCGGGAAAAAAAGGCGTTTAGCTACTCGAATTACGTCGTAAGAAGTTACAGCTTATCTGTTACAAACTGAGTTCTCACAATTTCTTACCTGAATAGGTGTTTATAAAATGTGCGCGAACAACATGTTAAAATTACCAGAGCAAGCGCACCACCCTCTGCACCATTACAAAAACCAAAAGTAACTGGAAAATTTACCGTGCAAACACTTTCCGAACTTTGCAGAAAAGATTGGGTCCCCATCCCAGACGAAAATAAAAAGAAATGAACAGTCGCGAACAACGGCGAATGAAACGAAGAAGTTAGCAGACAATACAAAGATACAAATCACTCACCAAAGACCTGAGTGATTTGTATCGCTCAGGTCTTTGTCGTCGCACGGTCGCACATAAAACCCGCGTTTCTCCTACCCGCCCGCTTCCTCCTCTCATTATATGTATTTGGTTCTAACTAAATAAGCTATATTAATGGTGTATTATTCATATCTACTTTGTTTCAGTTAGAAAAATGAGTTTCACGGCAACTAGAGTCAATAAATGAGCTTCGCTTAGAGTATCGGCACTCTCTTCCCCGACAGTGTTTGAACGCCGCCATTTTGGTGCTTGTGCAGAGGAGGCGCAACTGCCGATCGTCATGGTTCCAAAGTGTGACATCCTCAGCATTAGATTCGGTGTTAGGAAGCTCATGTAATGTTGCTTTGCTTTGTCGCAAACTGTTTAAAGTGGAGGACGGAAAAGCGTTTCTTGTGATTCAGATAAAGCTTCAAATAACTGGCAACCATGATTTTAAGCCACAATAAGGCCAAGTGTCGCTACTCTGAAGCGTAGCTTATTTAATGACACTATTCATGCTCTTGTTCAAGAGGCTTGTAATACCTGGAGGGGCCATGACGTAAGCCCCGTGCATTCCACAAGCCACTTCCTTTTGACACCTGCCTCTTCCTCATTGTTCCCGCTTATGCCAGTAAATTAGCTACGGTTCAGAGTAACTACACTTGGCCATAATGTGGCTTAATATTATGGTTGCCAGTTATATGAAGCTCTAACTAAAATCCCAGGAAACGCTTTTCCGTCCCTCACAAATGTTTAAACAACCCGCGACAGAGCATTGCAATATTGCATCAGCTTCCTAGCACCGCATCTAATGCTGAAGAAGTCGTACTTTTGGATCATGATGATCGGCAGTTGCGTTTGCTCTGAGCAAGACCCAAAATGGCGGCGCCCTAAACAATTTTGGAGAACGGAGCGCCGATACTTTAAAGCTCATTTAGTGACTAGGCATAAAGGGCACTGGGGAGTATTCTTTTCCTCTTCGTCTTCATTGTTTATTGATTTCAATCACATCGAATAATGAACACATTATATCACGCTACGCTTGTGTAATTATTTGTCTCAGATTTATTAGCCTGACCCAGTACTTAAACCTTTCATTCATCGATAGTAAATCTTCCAATATATTTTTTAAATGTGAAGGTATAAAGACACGGAGATTGATGATGATACAGACGCCAACGCCGCCCTCGGAAGTTTTTTGAACATTAGAAAGCAGCAGTTTGTCTGCCATCCGCCAGGTAGCGCAACAAAACACCCAAACAGTTTTTAATTGTTTTTAAAATTAGCTAAACTCTACACTTATTAAGAAACCAAAGCAAGATCGTTGTGAAGATTGAATACATAGCAATGTATATCTATTCCAAACAATAAATATTATTAGATGCCAATAAATCTGTTTGATGTTTAAAAAAGATATGCGTCAAAAACAGGTAAGTTTGAAGGGCTCCTGGAACGTTTTGACTTTGAAAATAAAAAAAGCCAACGTCCACCTCTTGGGCAACCATTGTAGCTCTAGATGTTATAAAAGATTTTATTATAGTTTAATTATTTCCTTAGCGGCATTTGAAGTACCATGACCCGAAGCACAAAAAAGTGGTACGTTTGATATAAAATATCTAAACAAACAAATTTTACACAACATTAATTTTTTTTTTGCATATTACCAATTATAAGCACTACATTTGTAGCTAATTTCATTGCCCTAGCGCGTGTCATTAAAACATATTTGTGCTGAAAAAATGTCAATTTTAGGGCAATATTTGGAGGGATCAAAAAAACAAAGTAGTGCAAATACCAAAAAAGTGTATCGTTACATTCTGCTCCGACATTATCTTAACAAAACTGCTATATTGGAACCGTGTTATCTTTAATGGATCGTTCATAAAACATGAACTAGCGGAGCAAGTGAGGGTCCGCGCCATCATATTCGCAACGCTACAAATGCGCATGAACAGTAAAAACCAACACATACATAATATCAAATGAAAGAGGATTGCATTGCCTTTCGAATGACACCAATTCCACAAAACAGCATTTAAAAGGAGATGAGTAATGACCTGCCAAAAAGTACCCACACTGCCACATTCAGTGGGACCGTGGCCTTAATCGGCCAACTTGTGCCAAACAAAAAAAGTAAAGAAAGAGCGTCGAGGCAGCAGAAGAGCAGGCGGCGAATCGGTAACGTGACAGAGAGTGAGAGCGAAACTGAATCGACAAGGTCGCTGGCAGCTGCTTATAGTTCTACAGTGCGCCACCATCTCGAAAGTTCGACAAATAAGGTTTGAGCGTCACGCGCTCGGAGCGAGGATGAACCGGCGCTTTCGAGAACAAGAAAGCAGGGCGAAAGTACGTCTGGTAGAAGAATGAACGCGAATCATCTAGAATCCCGTGACCGAGCGTTGCTTTTTCGGCTCTGCGGGCGGTAATATGAAGGGCCTGCCCTTTTGTCGTTCATGTGTTTGGCTCCTTGTGAACTTCCAGGAAAACGTGATGACGTGTAGACTTGGGTTTCCAAAATTCTAGCTTGAAAAATTAACTACCTAAAAAAATGAAGAAATAATTTGTTTTTTTTTTTGTTTTTTGGGTGGGGGGGGGGGGGGGGAGCGGTCAGGTGTCCTATTTAGGTGGCTGGGTGTTTTCTTTTTTTTTACTAAAACCACGAGATTGGAAAACACAAAAATGACACTCAGGTTTAGATGTTGAGTTTGCAAAACCCAAAGTAGGACTGGCGCGGGAGTCATAATAAAAAAAACAAAAAAACGCCGAGGTTAAAAATTAATTCACAGTAATATACCATACGAATTAACTTTAATACGAATTCAGTGATAAATGAAACGACTGGCCAGGCAAAGATTCTGGGTCTGTGGATAGCCTAATTTAAAAAGTTCGCGAACAAACAACGAGCTTTGAGCGAAAGTAACAAGGCGTTCGTTTTTGCTGTGTTTGTCCGTCCATTTTCGTTCCTTCCTCAAGCTTAATTATCTCTACCAACCCGCTTGTTCTGTCCTGAGATATTAATCGCTAATATTTTGCCTTTCTTCAATTAATTAAAAAAACTTCGCGCTAGAAGCGCGAATGAGGTTGTGCCGATTTTGATGCGTAGAAGAATGACGCAGTTGTTTCTGTTCCCTCGTCACTAACTCGACAGCGTTTCTTCGGTGGACTCGCCGGCGCCACACATCAAGACGACTAAGTTACTATTCTTCGTATTATTTTCATAACGCGGTTTCTGAATCAAGCGAAGAAAGGCAAACTTTTACGATTAATTTTGCGAACCTCGTTGGCCTTTTCGCGAATTGTCGAAATTGTGTTTGCCTTTAATTATGACTCCTTTTAAAACTGCAATTGCACCATAGCCAATTAAGCCGGTTATAAGCAAGTTAACTAACAGATCTTGGTTCATTATTAAACATTGCAACGGTTATTCACCCATTCATTGTCCACCGAGCCCTACAGATATAACGAAAGGCGGTATCCACATATCTGCCACATCCTTTTTTTGTAAAATATGTAAAGTTCTGTAAAAAATAAAACAAAGACACCCTGAGTGTCTGCGTGAACCAGATACGCCCCCTGTGGAACCATGGGTGTTTCCCTTCGAATACCCAGCTCAGGCGAGACTTACCTGGTTGTCAGAAAGCAGCTGTCGGTTAAATGTATTGTTGTGAGCGTGTAGGTTTCAGATGGTTTACCCTCAAGAGGATAATGCGCTGCATATTGTAACCATGTATGCGCTGTGCATTTTAACCATTATTTCAATGCCGTGCAGTAAACTATAACAACTTTTTCCTTGCCTGATCTACGTGTGCTCATGTTTTCTGCTCAAAATGAAGTGAAATAGTTGCTTGTTTTCTTTGAATCTTATAAAGCATTACTTGTTCAGCCCACGGTGTCTCAGTTTTTGGACTTAAGTTTAATGTTAAAACGCGTGATTAAAATTGTCACGGCTTATAAGCCATTTCTTACAAGTGAACGTCGGGTGATCCTCGGATGGTCGTGGCAGCCACGAAGAAATAGAAGATTCTCACCCCTTTGCGACCGTCGCTTGGGTGGTTCGTCGCATACATTATGGCGCACCGTGAATTCACGAGGGCGCCCATCAAACCATTCGGCCAATCTTGGCCGCGACACGATCACATGGTCGTGTTGCCGCGGGGTTGATCGGGATCTCGAATTCGGCTCCCGACGCGCCGCTTTCTCT